TCAGCTGTCCAATATCAGAAGACCTAATTTTTGGAGAGTTGTACATTAAAAGCTAGAGCTCTCCTTTCTTACTCAGCAGTCTAAACCATTAGGTTAGAGTTTAATAGGTAGGAGATACTAGAAGTACAATTGTACATGATCTACAGAATAAATGACAATGAAGAAGCAGTCTAGAGCACTGTGTCCTTCATGCCAAATTAGAAGAATGGTGATGCATGGTATCTTTCAAACTTCTTATCTGATAGCTTCCTGTCTTAAGTCAGTGATAATCAGTGGTTGTGCCATTGTGATTACTCTTGTCTTTCTTCCTACGAATTCCCTAGAAAAGTATATGATAGAAATGTCATCTCTCAGAAGGACATAATAGTTGTTTGAAATGTCCACTGTCTGCTTTCCAGAACCATACAGATTTTGGACACAGATTTGCTGCTTTTATCAGTTTGTTCAGTTTCAGGAGTTCTATTTGAGGCTGTGTGCGTACATAGTATTTCCAGCTTTAATTTTTTGCTCTCTGAATTCAAATGTTACCAAAGTCATCTTGAGTTCAAATATACAGCTCCCTCCAAAAGCCATCTGCTCTTTGTTCTAGCCTAGTCAGGTATTAATTTGACTTCACTTGACTGTTCAGCCTTTGAAGTTCCTGCACTCATGTTTCCCTCAGCTTTATTTAGCCTTATATCAAATTTAAAGCCCTGTCAGATTAACATTACTTGTTCACATATATCAGCTCCACATTTTGGAAACTCTGCCAAACTGTAGTCTGGATCTTTTGTTTTCTAACTTAGTTCCTGTATTGTTTTGGCAAGCCTTCGTGACTCTGAGCATGCAGACTAACATCAGTAATTCCAAAACTCTGAAATTATTTTTTAATATCAATAATAACAACTTTAAAAGGTCAGGCAAAACATTCTAACTCCTGAATTTTTTGTGTCATAACTTGGCCCAGTTCCCAGTCTGGACAGGTGATGGTTGCTGCAAGTGGATCCAGCTGCGAAATCCTCCCTCTCAATCCCGTCTGCTTCTAAGATCCCTGGACTGGGAGGGGGAGGAGGACGAGTGATGCCTTTGGGTAGCTCTGAGCACACTGGGAGATACAAACCTGGAATCTGATGTTCATTCTTCCTGGACAATGTGTCCTTACGGGAGCCACTTCATGCTGGACGGACACCGGAATCGCACAGTGCTGCGTTCCTGTGTGCTTAGGTTCATACCCCAAATGATTCCATGATTGTGGGACCCTTGGTTAACTGGAAAATCAGAGATTTTTCAGAGACAAATTAGTAAAATAATGAATACTAGGAATTCCTAACTGCGAGCAGTTTATTCTTAAAAACAGAACAAACCAAAAAGACTTAGAAAGCAGCATCTGGAATGCGGCTCCCTGATGTGATTGAACTCATGTGCAAGTGCAGATTCTGGTCGGTATCTCTGGGTAAGGCAAAACTGTTCACACACTCTCCTCTTTCCATGTGATCTCTTAGCTGTGAAAAACAGAGCCCTTGTTGAGAAAAACAACCACCTGTTTAAAACTTAGACTTGTATATACTTGACTGTGGAATTTTCCCCTGTCCAGATCATTTGCCTCAATAGTTTGTTCACCTTCTCTGCGGTGCTGGTTTGGAGAGGTAGCACTGCGTGAGCATGAGGGTGTTGATGAAGGGGGAGGTGGAGGCAGAATGGATGTAGACCATGCAACAGAAATACTGTGATCCTGCAAGAGTGTCTCAGTTTCAGTATTACTGTCCTACAGTTTTAGAATTGCTCCGGCAGTGCTATATTTTCATTGCACAGTCAAATCCTTTCCTGCACAAACTTTATTACTCCACAGTGGAGGGGGTGGCAGTGCTGTTGCTCTCGTTAGACTTCTCTGAGAGGGATGGCACCTGGAACACTAAGGTTTGATGAGTTTTCACTTCCAGCTGGCTATCTTAACCTAACAGACTGTTTCTCATGCAGGGTGAAAATCACATTAGAAGTATTCAGAACACTTTTGCTGTAGTTAAGAACTTCTGATTAACAAGATTTAGTATCAGTCCTAATTGGTAAAGGTGTGAAAAATTGATTCATTATCTTAAATAATTCTATTGGAGACAATCCTGTAATAGTGGTCATCTCTTGCAATAAGATCAAATTCCTAATTTGAACTACGTATTTTAGCTATTTTGAATTCTGATCAGATTTTTCAGTGTGAGATCAGAATATGATACACTGCATGGGGAAGACAAAATGGGATGTTGAGACAGAAGAAGCAGGACCTCTGCAAGCATACCTTCACATCCCATTAACTAACTTTCCTTTGACTACTGGGAGAAGTTCTGACCTCTGGTGGCTTAAGCTTAAGCTCTAGAAGAGTTTAATGATTTTTTTTAAGGTGACTGAAACTCTGTGTTCCCCCTGGAAATGCTGGCATCGTTGGCTAGGAGACAGCACAGGGTTCAGAGAGCCTTTGGGCTGTCTGACATGAAGAAGGGGAGATCATATTTCTTTTTTCACTTCCTCTCGGTCTCCAGGAGGAAGAAGGTCATCAACATCTTTTTTACTCAGGCTGGTTTTCTCCAAGGTTATTTGATGCTGTGCATCAATTTTCTCAGCTGCCTGAGGTTTATGTGCCCCACACAGCAGAACAAATTAGGTCCTGGTCTGAGTGCTCAGCCTGCAGGCTTTGAGCGGTAATTAAAGCTTCAATTGCAGTAACACACACAGTATTTGGAAGTATTCAAATAAGGATGGACTGACTTGCTATTCCTTACTTAGTTTTAAACACTACTCAGGAAGTTTCATTCAAGTTTTTTGCAATGAAATGCTGCAGAGATGCAGTGAAATACAGATTTTCTGTTGGATTTCATTTGCTGTCAGCAGACTCAGAAAATGATCCAAGGGCTTCTGGGCTTAGTTTTTTTATAAGTTAAGACTGAAAGACTGTGCAAAATTGTGAATAGATCACCACGTGTGTGGAAAAGGTTTGCCAGACTAGGGGCAGCATTTAACTTTCAAGCCAGATATGGCTGTGATGTTGTATAGAGCAAATTTGTGCTTTTTTGTATGACTTGTCTTTTGACCAAAGAACATATACATAGCAGCAATTGTAAGATAACAGAAAGGGTACAGCAGTAAAGAAGGAGAAATCATTTCTATTAATCCTAATCCCCCTCTCCTTGTCTTCTGGAAAGTCCATATAGTCGTGATTTCCAGATTTTGCTTTCGAGGTGTGTTATTTATGCCTAAATAATCTTTGCTGCTAAGGTAGAGCTGCTGGTGTAAGCTGTGCTGCTGGCATAGCACTGCCCGAGTGTCTGGGACTTCGTGTCCTTTCACTGCAGTGCAGCACAATTAATAACAAGCAGGCTCTGCCATGGGATGTTGTTCTATGTGCACCAGGACTGGCATTCTGAATAGTAATAATAAACAGCTGATGGCTGAGCCACCAGTTAGAGAAGAATTGCAGTGGAATCTCAAAGATTTTTCTTCTTTTTTTGGGAAGTGGGGATGGTGATGCTGCAGATAAGCATGCTAGTGGTGCTGCAATGATGTAAAAAAAAATATTCCTTCAAAAACCTGTGTCAAAGGCATGGTTGCTGAAAAGGAAGCAATATGAATAGCAGTGCCAATGGTGAAGATAAGGATATAACTTAATTTAGGCTGCTAAAATTCTTTAATGCCAGGTTTCATGTGTGATGGAATACATTATTTTTTGCTAGAGGGTTAAACACTTTGTCCCTCATCTCAGCCAGCATTTATGGATTTCCAGGTCTCCCTGCTGAGAAGTAAATTAAATACGTAGCACCTTCTCACCTTTTCTCTGTTGCTGTTCTAATGGAAGAGAATTTTTCTTGCCAGTAACACAGATGATCATCGCTGCTAAGATTTATTATTTTTTGGTATCAGGAAGGATGACAAATCTGCATTATTTCCAGAAGGACTCGGATTTCTGAACAAAAGGATAGTAGGCATGCTTCATTTTCTTAAAGCTATGTCTAGGAAATTGGAGGCACAGCAAGTCTCCACAAACTTTATAAGCATGGCTGAAAAAGAAAGGTGAACTGCTTTAGGATGTCCTTGAAATATGATGTTGGATGGGTTTTTTAACTTCACTTGGAAGGTTTGGTTCTTTTTCTGTCAAAAGTTGCCTTTTGCATGTGCTGTTCAAGATCCATTAAATGTCAGATGGAGGTTAGGAAGCCAAGGGTAACTGTTCTGTTTTTATGTATTTATAATCACTTTTTTCTTGTGTTACGATTTCTGTTGACTTTTTTTTTTTAATCTGCAGGGCAATTGGCATATTACATTGAAGTGGTTATGTATTACTATAAGTGCTGTTAAAAGTATTTATATATATAAAGAAAAGCATTTAATTGAATGCCTTATGGTAGATTTTTGTTTATTTCTCCTTTCTATTTTATGTGAAAATTAAATGTATGTAAACATATTATTAATGTGTTTCCCTATATATAGAAGTATTTCCATAGGAACATGCACTCGAAGGACAATTACAGTTAGATATTTCTGTCTAAACTATATTTTCTGGACTAAAATACATTTAACTGAATAGAGTCACATGGTAACAGTGCCAGAGGCAAAGAAATAAATAGAATTGGTTTTGATTTGAAGGTATTGCTTTAAATGACAAGATTATCATGCATTAGCTGTAGAGCACTGCTGAAAATTTCTCTTTTAAGAATGAGTTAATCTAATAAAATTACTTTGCCTTTCTTTACCTTTCTCCCTTCCCCTGCTCCCAGCCATGCCAACTTCTGTGTGATTACATTTTTCAGCTGTTTCTAGGATTTGTATGTACCAGCCAAGAGTAATATGTCACTGTCAGCACTTAAAACTGCTACTGTTTATTTACTACCCAGTTATAGACCAGGTTTACAAACTTGCTTTTTACAAATGGTTTCTTAGGAAAATCAGCAAAACTGGTAGCAATGTTTATCTCATTATGCTGACACTCCCCATATTTTTTTTTTTTCCTTTCCCTTGTCCTCTTCCCCCTACTTCAGGAGCCCAGCAACAAACGGGTCAAGCCGCTTTCCAGAGTTACATCGCTAGCCAGTCTCATTCCTCCTGTGCGAGCCACTCCACTGAAGCGG